ATCTAGTTATTTAAGAGGTATAGCAGTAAACAGAGACAATAGTAGGATCGCTGTTTCAAATGATTCTTCTCACTGTGTCCATGTATTCACCACTGATGGAGATCTCTTACTGACGTATGGTAGTCAAGGTAGTGCACAGGGACAACTTTATCATCCTCAAGGTTTAGCATTTCTGAATGATACAGATTTAGTCATAGTAGACTTTGGTAATCATAGAATATGTATAGTGAATACTACAACAGGGACATTGGAAAAAATATTTGGTAACAAAGGTAACGGTGATGGAGAGTTTCAATATCCTTGGGGTGTACACGTTGATGACGATGGTAACATCATTGTGTGTGATACAGGTAATCATCGTGTTCAAGTCTTCACAAGAGACGGTGACTATCAATATCAGTTTGGTTTGACAACACAGGACAAGTTTATTCCATATGATGTGATAACACATGATGGACTGTTTTACATCAGTAATGGTTATAATCACGTTATTCATGTATTTGAGAAGAAAGGTAACGTACCGACTAGAATATCGACGATTGGTGGTAAAGGCAGTGCTGGTGGTCAGCTGAAAGGACCATGGGGCCTGGCTGTTGATAATGACCATCATCTACTKGTGTGTGATAATGGTAATAACCGCGTACTAAAATTCAGATTGGATGGTCGTTTTGTAGGAGAGACTTGTGATGTAATCAGGAACCCTCAATATATAACTGTTTTAAATGGCAAGTTATTAGTTAGTACGAGGGGTTCTGGTGTCTGGTGTGTAAAATAGAATACTATTGGCTATCGTTCTCAGCGAAAGAACGATTTTTCGTTAAAAACTGTGCTGAGAATAATAATATAATAATAATATGACTAAAATGAAGGTAGACACACGTCATACTGTTAGTCCAGTAGCTTCCATTATGACCCTGCTTAATGTGCCATGAAGGGTTACTCACATATTTGACCGGTAAGACATGTTATATCCTTACTGTTTAGTCTCGTTGGAAATAGTTTTGTTTTCCCGAGACTCTCGATGTTTCCCGAGGTGAAACTATTTTCACATGGAGCTTTGGGATCTTTTTTCTTCTTCTTAATAACAGTATTTTTTCTGTAGAAAGACTGGAAAAAGTTTTTTGCTTTGCTTTCCATTCTTACTGAATATGCCAGCAAAATACCTGTAAGATCCGCAGATGTATTCAGCGGTTTTCTCCCCGGTAATTAGATTCAATAATATTATGGGTTATTTCATTTTTTTCGTACATCTGGAGAAGGGTTGCCACGAGGTAT